CGAACGATGGACATTCAAAGTATCAGAATGCTCTTTCTACTCGTTATTACGTAACGTTGATTAAAAACAAATAAGATTGAAGATTTTAATGTTTTTTTTTTAATTATTAACTAAAATAATGAAAAGCTCTCAAAAGATCTCATTCAAAGTTACCAATAAATATTTAAATTTGTAAAAGTTCATCATTTTTCATCAATGTTATGATAAATATTTTTATGTGAAAGAAAAATATTGATATATTTGTAATTAATTGTAATTATTATGAATATATAGTAGTAGTTAAAGTAATTTGCTTCAAATGAGAACGTCGTAAAGTTGTTACGGAAATACAAGTATGTGACGTAATTTAAGAAATACTAATGCGTTACGAGTTGTATTACCGACAGTGATGTAAAAGGAGCAGCTCGTGTTTCTAATAACGTTAATGAACGTTATTTGTATGCTCCACTAGGAAACAGAAAACCAACCTCCGCATTGGTATATAACTACTCAAGGTGCGCCATTTACAAGTAATCACAGGTAATATTACATATGTAAATGTTATTTAAATGTTTTCCTTATCCACGTATTGATTTTATGATCCGTTCGTCATTACATATAAAATAAACCACGTATAACACGGTCGTTTCTAAAAAATCGTGTAATACGAATTATAGAACTAATATAGGAAACAAATAAAAATACTACAGATTAAAAGGGATTTTCGTATCTTTGTATTGATTTTACAAAAGTGTTATATGAATCAGAGAACTATTATAAGATAGTAAAACCATGTTGTAGGATTGACGTATTAAGCGCGATTTTCGTATGTTTGTATTGATTTTACAAAAGTTTGTCATTACATGTATAACACGGTCATTTAAAAAATCGTGTTATAAGAAAAATAAATAAAATAAGAATTATTGTGTTAAAGCAAAATTACCATGTTAAAAGGGATTTTTGTATCCTTGTATTGATTTTCCAAAAGTTTGTCATTACATATAATGTAAACCCCGCATAACACGGTTGTTTTTCAAAATTCGTGTTAAATGAAACAATAGATTAATATAAGAAACATTGTTATGTTCTAAATATTTAAAAATACTATAGAATTATCAAATACTATTAAATGCATGAAACAAATGTATAGTTTTTATTTATTTATTTTTTTGCATTGGAATAGTAATGGATTGGTGAGAATATTAGTCATATGTCAGTATTAGTGAGATAAATTGAATAGAATATATCTACTAGTAGTTATCCGGATTAATTGATACTTGGATGAGGTAATATTAATTCGTCAAGTATGAATTAGTCCCAATTGCATAATAAACGTCTTCATTCTCAAGTATCAAATAAGCAATAGCATCGTTGAAAACATGTAACGTTGCTGTAGTATACTTGGTTTATGTTTTACTTACTATGTGCACGCTGCAGACAACCACGTGACCGCAAAACCCGGGTGTTTGTTGCGGGTGTCAAGGAAAGTCCTTCTAATATTGACGAAGGATGGACGGCAGGCACGACCACAAGGGCAAAACACCAGAGCCTGGGTCGTTGTCAGGCTGTTACATTGGCCCGGAGCGCTTTTGATGCGAAGATCAAATGCTTAATCCTTCCTATCCTATCCTTCGCGCGCTCCATTTAAGAGAGAACATAGGAGAGCGTCCCTTGACAGATGCAGCGATTACGCAACCTGGGCTACTCTTTTTCCGATGTAAATGGAGGCACGGCGGAGATTTATTCAAATTTATTTAATTTATACAGGCGGAAGCTAAATAATGCAACCGGTGCCCCGGATAAAACGGCGCGTTTTTGGCGTGCCGTCCCCCGTCTAATTTAATTTAGCAAAGGGGGGGATGAATTCCCTGCATCCCTCCGTCCGAGCAGACGCTTGTCCATGACGTGGACACGGAGCAGTTCGGATCGAAATAATATGTTGGTCGAATGTAAATGTTCAATGTCCTGTCAAATTGCAATTGTTTGGATATGGCAGCTGGGGTTTAATTCTTCAGATGCGCCGCCGTGTATGAATAAAATCTGCAATTGTAATTTAGGGGCTGCTGTGTGAGTCTACCGGATCGGAACGGCACCGGACTACCCGGAAGGACACGCGCCTGGTTAAACACCCTATTTGCATCTAATTTTGCCGTTTAACTAATTATTTTGATTACATAATTATTTAACAGTAACTACTTGGTATATATTGAAATATTGGTAGACAAATGCTCAAATTTCAGGATCTAATTCCTTTCTGCAATGCTTCAACTGCATTTGCTTTAATATACGAAGTAAGATAATTATATAAGTTTAACTCTTTGATGGGTCAGAAATTCTTAAGTATTCTTAAATTTCTAGATTCAACAATTTTTTAGACAACTGAATCATACAACTTCTGTTAAATACAGTAGACTTCCTGTTAATACGTAATTGTGTTATACAAGAATTTTCCTAGTATAGCGCGCAATAAGCGGGGGCGCTGTAAGAAAATCGCGTTCTATAAAAAGTTGTCCTAATATTTTTTGGCCGTTGTAGGAACTCTCGTTAATTGTTACATCAAATGTAATAACAATTTTTTTCATTAATTTATTGATTAATGAAAATAATGTTTCACTTTTTATAAAAAAATAGATAATAGTATATAATAACAGTTATTCATTTTTTTTTTGGTTACAATGCATTTTTTTTTTCGTTGTCATGAATTAAAAACTTTACGTTTTCAGCAGTTTTGTCTGCAGTTGCGTAAACCGTATTTTGAGGGAAATAATAATAAATCAAAGGGGGAAGGAACCCGTGAAATTAAATGCGCCTAAAAAGAAACAGGATCGACGAAGCACTTGAAAGCGATTCAATGAAAAGTAATTCATCAAAGAAATAGCATCAATAAACGGATGTTTATATTATACGACGTTCCTTGAGTAATTTCCTTTCTTAATGTCACTTTATGTATGCTAGTATTCATCATGGATCAATAAGCAATAAATACAACTTCTAAATATTTCCTGTAATCATGAACGTTTATTTTATACAAAGTTAAATATATTTATTAAAATTGATTAAAACAAGACAAATAAATATTAAAAAAAATAAACTTTTATGATTGTTTCAATAAATAAAAAAAACTTTATAAATTCAAATTTGTTCCATAATTTTGTAAATGTAATTAATCAGAATTGATTTATAAACAAACATTTTTTTTTTATAAATTTTGCAGTTATTATAAAAAAAATTACTTGAAAAAATATGTAAATTAAATAAGTAATATTAAATTTTACAAGTATATGTAATTATTTTTATTTATTTATCTATATTTGTTACAATAAATTTGATTGATTTTTTTAAATTATTGGGACTTTTATAGCAGTTTTTTTTATTGATTTTTTAATTTTCTTACTTAAATTAATTTTAAAGTAATTATTATGGAATGATAACAAGTGTTTTCAGTTAATACCTGATTTTTTTTATGAAAATATTGTAATGTTTGGGTTCATGTTACATTTGCATTGAATCTATGAAACAAAGAATAAACATTTCTATGTAGATAATTATGTTAGTGTAATTAAGGATGGTTAAAGAGAATAATGGAATATAAAAGAAACTGGAAGAACAAAGCACTTGGGAATGATCGAATGTAATATAAATCATCAAAGGAATATCAACGTTTTACTTTGCAAGTATCTTTTATGGTGTTAATAAAGCTTTTAGTTGTAAGAGAGAAAGAAAACAGTGGCTTTTTAAGAAGATGTAAATTTATTTATTTCTTTCCATCGTGTAACACTTTGATGGGTCGAGTAAATTTCGTTGGCGAACGGGTGGGGTTTGTCCGTGAAGGGTGATGGGAGTGGAATGGCGAGGTGAGGCGAGGCCAACCGCTCTCCGGTTTTTGGTGAAGAGTTGGACACTTCTGTCTCTAATTAGTAAGACACCGAGTGCTGTTCATGTCTAGATGCTCTACAATTACTGCGTCCCGACAATTGAAACCCTCCTATACATTCCATCCCTTGCACTCTATATTCCACCCTCGGCGCTACGCTGTGCGTGTGCACCGGGGCCGCAAGAATGCCAGGATATTAATTGTTTTCGCGGATGGAAATTGGTTCGGATACCTACCTACCTCATGAATTATTTTATGCTACTAGCTTTATGAATATTTAAGCAGTGCGTTGAAAATGTATGGAAAATCCACCCTTGATATTCATGGGCCAGGACTACTGCTGCTGCATCTACTACTTCTTCGTCATCTTCTACTTCTACTTCAGGGAGGTAGCTAAGACGAAAGGCTGAGATGATAGGAGGAGAGTCGCGGAAAGAAAGAGCGTCGGATCCGACTTCCTGTTCCGTTTAATTTGGAAAATGGCCGTTGGAAGGGTAAATCCTCTGCCGTCAGCCCGGCTGACACCATAATTCTCCATGCGGAACAAATTTAAAACACAAACCTAATAATGCATGTCATATCTGCACGGCTTTAAAATATTGCTTTCGCAATATACACGCATTATATTTGTGTGCGTATGGGTGCATGTGTATATAGATAATATTGAATATGGTGGACAAATATTATGATGATTATCAATATTTGTTCGGTCGTCGGAGTCCTGGCTGCAATGTGTAATTGAAATGCGTACTGGTGCACACGCAGGAATAATGTGCACTGCATTAAAACCGCTAATCAGGATTATTTTGTTTCGAAATCAACGATTAATCAAAACATGCTTATTAAATGCGTGCCCGTTCTTTCCTCGGTGTTTATTATCGGATTTCATCATAATTAACATGCGCCGGACACGCGTCCGACCATTTTAAACAGATTATTCGGATTGCTTCCAAAGAACATAATCATGCATACGTCGCTTTTAATACTATTAACATTACCATGGCATTCACTTGCTTACACTGCGAATAAACAGCAATGCAGTCGCTAAAAAAACACCATCATCAACAAACGCTACAACAACAACAACAACGACCGAAAGGACTAATAGGTAGAACTGGAGGTATTATCGCAGTCGACGAACGTTCTGCAAACCAGACAGTTCAGTATAGCTTCGACTATTGTTTTTTGCATCGAGACAAGAACCAGTCCAATAGAACAAGAACGTCCGATTGCGGTCATCGAACTTTTCTTTTTCTCTACATGAGTGTTAGCATCTTGTCAATGGGTTGTTCGTTTGCAAATTTAAAATTGAATGGTGAGTAAGCTTCTTGAAATGATACGTCCGGTCTTTGTGCACTTGAAGATGGAAGAGCGTTCTCCTTTTTTCCCCTTCATTAATACTTTTAATTAGGGCGGAGCGCGGAAAGTATTTCGCCGGCTTTGGATTGCCCAAGAAAATAATTAGCGGCGTAACAACTCAAATGTTGCCGGAAGTTTCGAATGCCGAGTTTTGAAACCGCAGATTTTCCGTTTATATTGAGCTTTGAATGTTGCTGTGGAAGGTGGCGACGATCATAAATATGTTTGCTTTAGGGTGTATTATTATTTGACAGGTTGTTAGCATTTGTTTCGGTGCATTTCGGTACAATTTCAATTATAAATTTTAGCTCTTCTAAATACGCTCTAAAAGACAAAATTTTAGCATTATATAATTACTTAGTTACACAATTAATAGACGTGTATTTAAATCGATAAATGGGAATGTAAATGTAAAGGATGTAAAAAATGCAATATTAAACAAGAACATTTATAAAATTAGAAAATATTTCAACTTCAGTTGAATTAGTTGACTTACACTATGGTTTTGAAGATACTTATTTTTAAATAATGTAATAAAAAAAAGTTTATGTAATATGTTTTACCTAATAATACGGTTTTTTGACATGTTTTTTACTATTATAAAATATATTCTTTATGATTTTGTTAATAAAATAAAGTCGCAAACAATATGTTATTCTTTATAAAGGAATATAAATAGTAGATGGGAGGTATACATAACTAGGTAATCCGATGAATGGTAATATTAAATCCATGGAAACAGTTTCTATCAAAAGTCGGATAAAGAATTATGAGCGGAGAGATGAAAAAGGGATTATTGAATGCTGTTGTTCAATTGTTTTGATTCGCTCGGTGTGCGCGCCACATATAACCGGTAGCCATGGAAAATACCCAAAGTGGAGCTTTAATTTAATTTCCACAATTAACGAGTTTGATATAAAAGCGCTTTGTGCTCTCGTTCCACCCAATGATGGAACGTCACATCCGCTTGGAAATGTTGCCGAGTAGATTGATATCAGGCCGTTCTGTAATTCGTTTTGCAGAGAAAGATGATGAAGACAGAGACGACGTGTTTGGTGGTGCTGCTGATCCTAGCGAAGGGGTCGATCGTGGTGGACGCCTTCAATGGAGAATTGGTGGATCTGGGGTGCCCCGATGAGTGCGAGTGCCATTACTTCAGGGTGAACTGGGTGACCGATTGTTCGGAGAGCAACCTGACCGACATCCCTTATTCGGAATTGAGTCCGAGCGTTTACATCCTCGACCTGAACGGAAACTATCTGACGGATGTTCCTCCATTCCCACCGGACATCAAGATGCGCCGCCTCCAATTAGCCAATAACCTGCTGACCCACGTCCGAAAAGAATCATTCCAGGGCTTGAATTACCTCATCGATGCCGATTTCGCGAACAACCGTATCGCCACCATCGACCCATCCACTTTCCAGTAGGTAAACGCAATTAAATTACTAAAACCGTACTAATCGCATTTATCTCTGCAGGACCATGTCCGGATTCATAAGTTTGGAATTACAGGACAACCCTTTAACTTCTGTAGATGGGGAATTTCTGTACTCGTCCACGCTTCTGTATTTGGATATCAGTAACTGCGGATTGAACTTTTTAAATCCCCGCTTCTTCGCAAACGTCACCTCGTTATGCACGCTGGATTTGTCTGATAATCCCCTGGGGATGATATCCCCTAACGAGTTTAATCCCTTGAAGAGTCTCGAAATATTAAAAATGAATAATTGCAATGTGAGTTTCATAGGAGAGGACGCGTTTGCGGCTCTGGACAACCTGAAGTCATTCGAGCTGGCTGGAAACAATCTTGCGGAGATCAGCTGGTCGTATGTGCTTTACCCACTAATCCGTCTAGAGTATTTGGACTTTAGGAGATCTGGCATTAGAGTTATCCAACCAGATGCGTTTGATAACAACACGTACCTTCGTACCCTTATACTGGCAGAGAACGAACTTAGAGATCTGGATGTCGCCGCTACCGTGGGTCAGAAACTCTCCCATCTGGATAGCCTGGATCTGTCGCACTGCCACCTGGGTAGACCGCTTTCCGAGGATGCATTTGTGAACTCAAGCAAAATAAGGACGCTTTATTTAGCCGGTAATACGTTATTTGCATCCGACCTGCTCCTCGCCTTGGCCCCTTTAACGAAACTGCAGAAGCTGTCGTTGAGTCAGTGCGGCTTGAGCGTCCTACCGCACACCCTGCATCAATTCCAAAGCCTCACCGAATTAGATATCTCGCATAACCCCTTGAACGACGTCTTCGTTAAAATCCTCGCTCCCCTGCAGGCGCTCGAGTATTTGAATATGGGTAACAGCAACCTCACGCACATAATGCCCTCGACCTTCTCGAAGATGACATCGATGAGGCGGCTAATCCTATCCGGCAACGATCTGAATTCGCTGGAGGCCGGGTTATTTGCAAATTTAACACATTTAAAGAGTCTCGAGCTGAATTCGTGCGGCTTAAGGAAGCCTCTAAATGCGACGGTCTTCTTCAACAATTTAACATACACAGACCTAACTGAATTACAATTAGCCGGTAATCCCTTAAAAGTTTCCCGCACGGGTCCCCTATTGCCCAAGCAACTTTCCCAGTTGCGAACGCTCGACTTGAGCAATTGCAATTTAACGTACCTGCCTATGGACGCGTTTTATTGGACCACAGGTATAACGCATTTAATACTGAAAGGCAATCAATTCACAAGTCGTGACTTTAAGTTCTTGAATTTATTACCGCAATTGGAGACCGTTGACCTACGCTACAACAATCTCACGACCTTCTCACCCAAATATTTGATAATGGCCAGCGGGAAATTAAACAAGGTACAACTTATTGGAAATCCTTGGATCTGTGATTGCGATATCGTAGATACTTGGGATTGGAGCAAGATGATGGGTTTGCAACTAGCCACCTCTCCTGAAGAACACATCATAGCGGGAAAAGTCAAGAACAAGCATTTATTAACTTGTAATCACTATGATGGACAGAAAACTTGGTCAAAGTACGTTAAAGATTCGGGATGTGAAAGACGATCTTCTCATTTTCGATCAGCTAGATCTCTCATCGAACCAAAAATCTCAACAAATATTTTATATTTAGGAGGCGTATTATTTTTAGTTACCATTTATGTAATGCTGGGAACAAAATTAAAATAATCTAATATTAAAACAAATACTTTTAATTTTTCAGTAAAATGAGAATATATTATTAATTAATATGTAATTTCGACTATAATGGTTTATAGTATATTATAATTATATTTATTATCATAAGACTAATTCGATAGTTAAAAATGACATTTATAATTAGGAAATTTAATTGGGTATTAAATATTGTTATTTTGTAAAATTGTAAATTTTATAAAATATATTACATTTATTAATGAAATATGTAAAGTTTTTTATTGAACCGAAATAAAATTAATAGTTGTTGTATTATCATATAATATCGTATATTAGCAATCAGTAACTATATAAAATTACCGTTCAATTAACGTACATCAAGTATACAAATTGACATATAATAAGAAGAAGATGTACTTTAATCGCAAGATTAATTCGATACGATTTTTTTTATATTTGTTGTATGATACTGTTTATTGAAATATATTTATTAGATTTTTTCGTAAATTTGTAGATTTTTCAAATATATGTACAGTGGAACCTCGCGTAAAGAGCATTTCTCTTAACGAGCAAAATAAATTGTTTGAAAAATGACTCGCTTAACGAGCAACGTTTCGCATAACGAGTGACGATGAGAAGAGAAGAATATAAACAAATATTGAAAGTATAAAGAGACCTCCACCAAGTCCTCGAATTGATACAAATATATAAACAAATATGTGTGTGAATTGGAAAACACTTCCTACTGTTAGTGGTCATTCTAGTTGTATCTTAGTGTTGTTTGCGATCACAAAATTTTCAAACTTTTGTTCAAACATGTTATTTGTGATTTTTTTTGTGCAAAATTTAAAAACACTGCCATGTCTCCGGATTAATGGAATTTACATTGGTTTATATGGGAAAACGTGTTTCACTATACGAGTAAAAATCCGGAAATTTTGAGACGGATTAAACTCGTTAAGCGAGGTTCCACTGTACTTGATGTACGTATTATCGAATTAAAATATATATAATTGAGTCAGTACGCACTTAACGTACATTAATGAGTAGTAACTACATTTTGTTGATGTCATATACTATTTTTTAGTTAGGAATTGTAGTTGAAATTGAATTAAGACATTATACTTACCCGCATTCTGTAGCGAAGGCAACAAAACAGAACTGTTCTCCTCTCACTTAGCGGCGAGTTATAATTAAGTTAAATGAAATTTCGGCTTCTGCGAAAGCATTAAAATCATTGAGCGGTGGCGTCGGAGGAGGACGAAGCGGGGGTCGCTAGTGCCGTTCGGGGTTGGAATTTATGATGATCCGCGGGCCGTGGAAAATAAAATACACAAGGCTAAAAAGTTAGTTAAGGTTCCCCAGAGGAATTCCGACCGAATGTTCACCCCCTCGAACATACATACACATACAATGCACTTAAAATAGCTGCCCCTGCCGCCGCCGCCGCCGCGCACCAATTTATAACAAGTACGGATATGATCATTTCGGTGAACACTCTCAAAGCTCGTTTTAATGCTTTCACAATACCAGTTTGTATCATGCCAATCATTTAATAATTTACGTACATGATGGATAGCGAAACGGGATAATCAAATCAAACATTTACATTCAGAAGCGTACGTTTCATCTAAATTTAAATTATTCATGGGTCCGTCTATTATATCGCCTCTCGTGTGTACGGGCTAATTTAAAATCGCTGCGAACGCCCTAAACGTTTCGTAAATAATTGAATGATTCCACCCTAAACCACCCCAACCATCAAACGGGGAGGCAGCTCGGAACACCTAAGAAAGTGAAGGACATCTAAAGAAGGGATATGTTTTTTTTTGTTATTTTACTTTACAAACAAATAATTAAATGAAACACCCTGACTGCGTTTATTCATTTTTAGTCTTTTAAATATTTTTATTAACAAACATATTTGGTTTATATTTATATATTTTTATATATATCATCGATAGATAATAATAGAATAGATAGAAATATCGCACTTGCAGACACATACATATATAACAGTATTATCATTAATATTAATTATACCTTTACTTTTATTTAATATTATCATTAATTAATTTTCATTTTTTTCCCCCCAAATATTCTTATTTCTTTTTTCTTCTTCTTTTGATTTTAACTACACTTATCAGTCGGTCTATAATTTACCATACTCCCCCTTAATCCTGAAAAAAAAAATGAGAACCATAAATACCATTACAATAGATTACATACAATATTTTGTAGTATTATTATTACATTACATAATTATATTTTTTTTGGTTTATTACATTGGTACAAGTAGTAGACAGTTAAGTAGTAGTGTATAGTTGTAGGTATGAGAAAGTTAAACGAAAAATTTTATAATCCTACTTATAAAAATATGGACTACAATTTTTTTTCCCTTAATACGATTTAAATATATATTTTTAATTCATTTTTTTTTCATAATTTTTATTTTTTATTTATTACACAATGTATGTATATATTATACAATCCCGTCCCTTGGCGCAACACAGGGAGAAAAAAAAATTATTACACAACCCTCAGCAGTTCATCATCCCTCCAATCTTTTCCTCTTCCTCCTTTTTTTGTTTTGTTTCTCGTGCATTTTCATCTCTCCCTTTTTATTTTTTGCATCCTCTCGCGCTTTTCCTTTCGCCGTTGTTCATTATTATTATTTTTCTCTCTTTCCTTTTCGCAATTCTTGCTCAATTTTTAATTTTCCTCGCCCCATTGCGCGACGAACAAATCAAACAAAATGTGAACATCCCAAAAAACAATAAATTCAGTCTTTCAGCCGTACTGCCTCATTCAACAAACGCAAATGAAAGAGATATACAGTCAAACGAAGCATATCCAAGTGTATTCATGTTTGCGTGTGTGTGTGTGTATGTGTACAACTGTGAGCGTGTGTTGGTGTCTGATGCATTGTTCACACGTCGTATTTCCTGTGCCGCATCAACGTATAACACATCATCACGTAATTATTACAATTTCATTTACACCCATTATTATATGATTATTTAGTTACGGTGCAGCAACGGCTTAGGGAAAGCCTCTAAATTAAAAATGTTTTCTCCCATTGTTTTTTTTTAACCTTCAGTAGAATTAACTTTATTTTTGTTGTTGCTTGGTTTATACCAGTGTTTCCCAACGTGGGTCCCTTGTCCCATAGGGATGAATTCGAAAATGTATTATGTATATGTTACATAAGGGACAAAATAATTTTAGAAAGGCTTTGGTGGGACATGGTACAAAAAATGGTTGGGAACCACTGGTTTAGACGGATTTGGCTAGTATATAGGTCGAGGGTTACGTTCCTAAAGAATCGCTTAATTTCCAGGCTCGTTGCTTATCCGTAACAATCATCTTCGAAATATATTCCATTAACATCTTAATATTCCTATGCGTAAGACGTATCGGCTTGTGACAAAACCGAAATGATACCGATATCAAATATTTATCGGAGCGCTGAACGAGTTAATTATTGACGTAATCCCGGATGCGTCATCAACTTTGACATAAAACATCTAAATAAACTAGCTTTTGAAAGTCTAGTATTTCGAGTACATCCAAATGCAATTATTTGAAACAGACAGCGAAATTTATAATTCAAAAACTTTTTAATACTTCAGTTTTCATACTTTATCAATCTGTGTTTTTTTTGTCTATTTTACATTAATTATTTTTTACTATTATTTTTTGTTTTGGACTCAAGTTCATAGACTTAGAAACATCAATTTTCTTACAAACATGATTTAACAATATGTTTGTAGATTCCATAGTTCCTATTTATGTAATCATAATCAATGGACGACTTTCTTTGAAAACATTTAATTAATATACTAAATATTATTTTAAACATTTTTTAGTATATTAAAAAAAATAGTTAATTTGATCTAATCTAATCTAGTTGAAGTTATTTGATATTTGGTACATTATATTATCTATTAAATTCAAAGTGTTTCTTTTTTTTTGTTTAATGTATGAAACTAAGCAAATATTTTTTTAAAAAAGGTATAAACTTTGTTTTAGAAAATTATGTTTGAATTACTGGAATTAAAACAACTATTTTTATCTTACGTTGAAATAGAAATAAAAATTTAAATTGAATCCTATAATTAGCGAAAGTTTAATTGATATCCTCTTTATGATATGAAAGCTGTAATATAGTTATGTAATTCCCGTCTTTCATAATTGAAAATCGGATCTGTTGTTGAACTATTAAATTTTAAGCATTGTGAAAAGCTTGCATTAATACAGCACATCTGCGTATGCTAACAAAATTTCGCATGGCATTATAATTCCCAACTTACTAGTGTTATTCCAAATACGACATATTATGTAATTCGTTATGCAATCGCGTATGCTTTTGATCCCTGTCGCTTTTGCAAATAATTAAAAGTTATTTTCCAGTAATTTACGTTTAGGAATATATTTCATTACAACATAATATTTGAGAAAATAAACATTTCGCACGATTTTGTAAGCAAAGTTTTGACGCACAAGTCACGTTGGACGCAATGAAACCTTGGTGACTTTTATGAGTGAAAAGTGGACTTAAAATGTGACTTGTTATACCTTCGACCTAGCCAGTTGTTTTTTCTTTTCAAGGGCTTAGGACTAGTTACATAGCAGAGACCTTTGATCTCTGGCGTTTCATTGCCATTAAAACTTAAGTGTAATTTAAATATATATTCGCTTTAATTAATTATTCTAGACTACTTTTGTAAAAAATTGTATAATTAGAAAGATTTTTTTTCGAATTTTTTTTTTGAAGTTATTGGTAATTTTATTAATTTAGAATAAAAATGTATAAAAGTATATACTTATCGGCGATGAAACGTCCCTGGGTACCCAATTATATTATATGCATTATTAATAACTTTTTTCTCCATTTCTTTGTGTTTTCTTTCTTTATGGAAGAACAGACATGTGTTTTACTCTTTGGGCATTACATTCACTGATTATTAGGTTACATTACGGCCCCGATGGATCTCTTTAAACGTATACTATGTGTGGTCGGGCTTTCGGAGCGCTATCGAATTGTCTGTAGACATCAGAGCAGTCTTTGGAGTACGGATCCCATGGGGCAAGGGTCCTGTATTCGTGTATTAGTGGAGGCCCTATTATGTATTTGTCGGCCCTGGGATCTTCGTAAGTTAGGGTTAGAGCCGGTCCGTTAGGGCATTGGGCTGCCTCTGATGGGGGACTCTCGTTTCTCTTCACGTGTTTCTTAAGAGGTCCACAGTACAGTAGGATGACGGCAATGGCGAGCATGAAACAGGTAAGGGCGACGGCGCTAAGGGCGGCAATCCAACCAAGTGAGCATCCCACCTGCGATTCGGTGGCGTCAGCGAGAAGTACTCCATCCAAAGGCTCCGGTCCAGCGCACGATATCTCATCAATATCCACGAACAATTCCTCGCTGATGGCTGTCTCATTCTCGTTTGATCTAGCCTTCTGCTCTTGCTCCAGCCTCCAAAGCCATAGAAGGGAACAATTGCACTCCAAAGGGTTGCGACCCAATTTCAGCCACTTCAATTGATCCAAAGGGAAATGCGATGCGTCTAAAGTGGCCAATTGATTGTTGCGGATCGAGATGTGGGTGATGCGAGGGTTACCGTAGAACAGGCGACCTGGTAATGTCTCAACGGCGATGTTGTCGTCCAACCAGATCTTCTCCAAGTTAATGTTGTCGACGAAAGCTCTGGGATCGATGCGTGAGAGAAATTCGAGCCGATCGAGTCGCAGGAATCGTAGTTGAAACAGACCCTTGAATGCTACCGGCGGAATGTAATTGATGAAATTACCGCTGAACTTGAGCTTCGTCAGATTGGAGAGCTTCGCCAAGGATACAGTAGGAACGGCGGTGAAGTTGTTGTCGCTCAAATCCAAGAACTCCAGAGAGGTTAATCCGGATAGGGCACCGGCGTGAATATCTCTGATCAGGTTGTTGTTTAGCTGCAGCGACTCCAGGAGCGGTAGGTTTGGTATCTCGCCTTCGGCCACTGTCACTATGAGATTGTTGGTGAGAGATAGCTTATTCAGATTGGTGGCGTCTGATATGGCGCCCGTCGGTATTTCTAGCAGCTGATTATTTTCTAATAATAATACGCGCAGCATCGTCGAGGACTTAAATAGACTTTCTTCAAGATAGACGATCTGGTTGCCATTGAGTTTTAGCACTTCCAACGAGTGGAGGTCGCGGAACGCGTGCACGGAGATCTTCTCCAGGCGATTCAAGCTAAGGTCTAGTTCGGCGAGGGCGCATAATCCTTTCAACGAATCCTTCCACAGAGTTTCTATCTCGTTGCCGCTCAAGTTTAGATGCTTCAGGTTGCGCTGCGACTCGAAGTTCATCGAGCCTAACGACTGAATCTTGTTGCCAGATAGGTCGAGCGACACCAGGTTGCTGTAGAAGTTGAAGGTGAAGAGCACGTTGCTAATCCTGTTATCCGCTAGGTCTATGTGACGGACTTCCGGATTCAGCTGGATGGGGACCACCTCCAGGGACCCGGAAGCACAGGAGACTCGCAACGAGTCTTCGTTGCATTTGCAGCGCGCCGGGCATATGGCCTGAATCTGCCCGACGAACAGCAGCAGGACCACCACCGACCACATGGGACGGGCCTTTTCACCCCCCATTCCAAGCACGTTGCATCCGCATGGGACCTGCAACAAACACAAACACCGATCCAATTAATAAACTAGGCCTTTCTAAATATACCCTCTCTCACTCATACACATACACCCTCTCTCTCTCTCTCTCTCATATACTTATATCTATATATACATAGCACACGGTAGATATGTTTGTAATGCACGGTGTTAAACCGAATGGCCCTGCTGAGGGGAGGCAACCAGCAGGGGACGTTGAGTGTTTTCACCGTTAGGGGTTGAGCCTCATTCAAGATTGATGCGCCGTAATTCGCTTGCCACCTGCTACACAGAGTGCCCAATTGTTCCGGTGACCCGTTAACAATCAATCTAACCGAAAAACGTTTTGATATTTCATTAGTATCTTCATTCGAAAACTGCTATCTCGCGATGGCTGCAAATGGAATTAAGACAAATGACCCGCCGGAAAAAGAAGTTACTTGGGGTAGGAAGAAAAAGGGACAGAGGAAACCGTGAATGGGGATGGGAATGGGAAAGGAAAGGGAGGGGCGATAAGAATTTGATGGTTCGCGGCAGCTAAATGTAATTGATTGCATCTCGACGGGTTTATTAGCAGAAAAAGAGAAGAAGAAAGAAAAGAAGAAAAATAAGAAGAAGTAAAAATAAGGAAGTAGAGGATACGTAACTTTAACATATATGCTATACAATATACAAATGCAATCCTTTCATTCGCCCCGGATTACACTTCGTTTTCCTATTTCATATTGCAATAGCATTTCAACTTGTTCTGCGCAATATATGCTACCACACTCATTTCGTACTTTATAGAGCAAGATTTGGTTTCTTTATAGGTGACTTATAAAGAAATCTTAGTATTTTCAACGTTGTTTGTAGGTAATACTTTCCAGGTATTGCTTAAAATTTCAGTTTATAGCTAACTTTATTACATACACAAATTGAGATATTTTATATAAAAATTTATTTCAAGACAAATATACCAACAAAATTTTTATAAAACTAATTAATATAAACAATAAAACTTTATTTCATTAAAATTTGGTTGTGATTGTAGTAATGTTAATATAGAAGGAATAACATTGTAAATTTTAATAAGTTTGAGGATGCTATAAATAAACTTGTTTGTAAAGTAATAAATATGTCAAAATTAGTTATAAATGTGTAAAAAAAACAACTTGAGAGTTGAACATTAGTTAACTCTAAGTATATGGTATTCGCGATTAATATAAGTGATATACGACAGCCGTTGTGCGTTGATTACCCATAAACATTTTAGTGTTTGCAGACACCTTAGACATCAAAGAAACCACACTTCGATGCGAAACAGAAGACAGAAAAGAACAAGAATAACAGAAGAAACAAAAACAAGAAATAAAAGGAACAAAATTGGAGTTGGGAATCTCGCCTCGAGCAAGTTTTAACAACGAGCAGAGTAGATTCAAATCAAAATCGGAGATTGAAAAAGGAACTTGGTTTGATTGGGCCTGGGACGAGTTTTTGATCGGGCCTCGATATTGGCCACAGGAGGACCATTCCATTCGAATAGCCTCGGCAGGAATAACAATACCGATCCTATCATTACCGCGCACACACATATCTATTCCCATACCGATACACGAGATGATCAGGACGAAAGGAATCGAGTGCTAAGGAGGGAAAGGATGAGGTGGTTGAGAAGGAGTACGACGTCGAGGGTGGAAAAGTAATAAATCTCGAGCGCGCGCGTGTCTAACCTATTTATTCCATTAATAAGCGCGCGGGGGTGGGTGGTTATAATTGACCCGCAAATCAGTTCAACATTTTGAAAGGAGAGAACGTAATTGAATCCGTGAATTAGGGCTAACGACGTGAGGGTTCTGCCCATTCAAAACTAGATCCTCGTTCGTTTTCACTTTTTTTTTTCATCGTATCCTTAATTTCTTCTTCTTTTTTTTATTCTCTTCATCTTCGTTTGGCTTGACGTGGCCACGTGTATGTCGGGACATCTCGAAGGGCACGATTTAATTAGCATTTAAGGAAGAAATCACGTAGCTAAGACAAAATTACGTCCGCCTCGTTTGCATACGGCAGGCAAATGATCCTCGTCGTAACGAGATTACCTTCCCGCCATCACGTATCGCTGTTTGTTTCGTTTCTGGGCCCCACAAGAAACAATACGCAAAAATCCATGTTTAAATTAACAATTACACGGAGCGACTCGCCTATAAATCATTGCATAACCCGTGCGATGAATTACTACTAACATGGAAACGTTATCTAGAAGTTCATAAGACAAAGTGGAATGCGCTGCTGGTATTTGTTTTACACCCAACACATGTTGAAACTCTTCCAAGCTTTACCCGTAGGATAAAACAGATTTGATTCTTTCAAAGATGTTTTTCAAGAAAACTTTGCTAATACCATTTTTCATATTGGTGTTTCATTATATTCAAATATTTTTTAGTTACATCAATAAATAAATTTGATAATGTTAGAAAATTATCGGATAATTAAGAATTTCCTTAAATTCCACAAATTGGAACATTTCAACCGAATATTTTTAAATTTTCCTAATACAATTATCATGAAATATATGTTTAAATTAACAATTATACGAGACGAGCGAGGCATAAATCATTGCATAACTCGCTCGACTTATTACGACTAACACGATATCTGGAAGTTCACAAGACAAAGTGGAATGCTCTGCTGGTATTTGTTTTACACCCAACACATGCTGTAACTTCTCCTAGTCTTACTAGAGGAGGGAACAAGATCCATAGGGGAGGCGCCGAAGACAGAGAAAAAAAAATAGAAGAAAAGAACATCGCAACGTTAAGTAGTGGTTAAATACGGAGTGACTAAAATTAGACACAACATTACAACCGATGACAATTTTTGTGTGTGACTCCTTCGCTACTGTTCTCATTCGTTTCTTCTTCTTCTTCTTTTTACTTAGATATATATCTTTTTTTCTGGAATGGAAGCATTCGCATCTTCTTCACGACACGCACTCTATCCTTCGGAATTTAATTATACAAACACGAAAACCGAAGAGATTTATACCTCCGGCCGTCCGGAACATGTGCTCGCATTATATAATATGCATTTAATAAACACCCGAAATACAGACGTGTGCGTACCGTTCGGAAATTTAAATTCCATTAATAACACTAATGAACGTTGCATTAAACAAATCCTCTTAATTTAATAACGTGAAAGCGTCAAATTACAATGGTTTAAATAAACCTCCCCAAATCCTCCAATGCAACGGCCCATGTATATATACATTTTTTTGCAGTCCCCAATTTCTACTCGCTTGGTTCAGAGATTTCCGTGCATTATTCATTAATTGTATTACAGCCCAATTATATTGAACAAATACAATTTGTGAATATAATGAATACACAATACACGATATTACCAATTCCATTCGCTAGATTTACTATTCCACCGAAATTATCATACACGTACATTCCGCAATTTGAACAGCAAATTTAATAATATAAATATAACATCATTGTAATATATTTTTTTTAATTATTTACTCAATTTCTTGTTAATATTTGTATAAATCGATAATTTATTATGCTGAAAATATAAAAACTAGTCATTTCCGGGTAAACCGGAAATATAATGTTAAGATGAACAATAAATTCTTATAAAGTTTTTCGATCAAAGCAATAATTTCTAAGATAAATAAGTTTGTTATGAAATTGCTGATTCAAAAAACTGATAAAGTTGAGAAAAGAGATGTATTTCCAATTGTGTGACAGAAATGATGTAATTTAATAAATTTACAATATCGCGAAATACGTGAAAGAAAAACGGAAGCCTGTTGTTACCTAAAATTTGTTCGGTCGTCGGAAACAATACCTTTGTTCAGCGGAAGCGTAGGAAACGACGACAATAAAAAGGAATGAAGAGAAAGTAAAAAAAAGAAGCAGAAAACAGCATGTTACAATGTAAACGCGATATGCACACGTATTTAAAAGGTATCCGCGATTTTGCGCCGTCGCGATGCGAATTTTAATTACGCGGATTAAAACACTGAAATCTCCATATTTTCTTCGCATGTTTACCATACTTTATCTTAAAAAAAATATATTCACAAGAAAAATGAACGCGACAAGGAAAAAAAAAATATAAATAAGCGAAAGCGGCGAACTCGAGAAGGGTACAAATAGTACAGAATATGTTCGCTTAAGCTCATGGAAAAAAAGTGCAATTAATTATAAATTCCGTAGCAAGAATATTTTTATATATATATATAATCCTGGGTGGTTTCACACGAAGCTTGATTTCTTTTGGGACACACTACGAAATGACGAATGTCTCTTTGTTCTGAGAAATTTTTCAATTCAAGCAACTTTCTCTTTAACTGGAAATTAATTGAATATAATTAAAATAATAATAAATAAAGTCGAAATTTATTATAATATTTGGATAAAATGATCATATATAGTGAAATTATAAAATTTCTCAATGGATCTTAGTGGAAAGAATTAAAAAAAATATAGTTACGGAATCATCAGTGGAAGTTAATATCCAAGGTTTACGTAGATTAACTAAAGTGATTTACTTTTGTATATATCTAGATAGGAGATTAAGTTAAAATTTAAAGATCAGACTATAAATAAAAGCTTAAGGAAATTTATAGGTTAATTACATAACTTTTGGGAATTTTAATATAGTTTTGTTATACTATTTTTTGATTATATATTCAAAAACACCAAGAATTAAGTAATAAATATACTTAGATTGAAGAAGCTCGAATACTATAATATACATCTAGATAGAACTGTCATCTATAAATATAACAAAAGTAGCAGATACAACGATTTATTAAGATGAAAAATTTTGTGTAGAAAATTAAAGTAAAAACTGTTGAAATAAAAATTATAGTTTTTCCTATTTACAATTTACAGGAATATTCATTATCATATAGTTGTAGCTACTACATGATTAAGGTAAAGCATATATTGATTAGAAATTAATTTTGTTGTTATTAAGTTACTTGACAACACTATTTATGTGGTAAAAATGTTTTGAGAGAT